CCAAAGGACTCCTTGTCATCTTGCCTGGTAATGTAATTTACAATGAGAGCAAGCACTGGTCATTAGGAAAATAGAAACAGCTTGAATCTCTTAATTAAAACACTGCTTCAAATTGTTCATTTCAAACCCCTGTGTTCATAAGCTTTCAAGAAACCACTCGGTTACCCTGAAAGGGCGTCTTCTTCAGCAAACCCGTGATAGGATCACCTCTTTACAGACAAGAAAAAGGCTGAGCAGGGGTGAATCCCGGAGGCAGAATATTATTAGGCATACTTAAATCCCCAAAGGAGCCGTGGGCATTCACTGACACTGGAAAGTGAGTGTGGGAACACAGGCAAAGCATCTATGTCAATGCCACTATTGGTGAAAACTAAGTCTACCAATGCCAACAGGTGATGTAAATGAGAGTTGACAAAAACACTTCTGTACTCTGGAACATGCTCTTTGGCACCCATTTGATGTTATCTGGTAAAGTTGAGTATTTGCATACCCCACAAGCCAGTAATTCCACTCTTCGTATACACCCAAAGCATTAGGGGACATGCACGAGAGTAGACAGAGTAGCAACACTGTCCATAATAGCAAAAACCTAGAGTGGAAAGACACATAGGTCTGTCAACAAAGTCTGTAGCATAGGTAAGTAATCAGATGTACAGTCATGCAATGGAGTATTATACAGCAGGGAAAATGAAAACCCACTGCCATGTGCTACAAGGACGAATCCTGGGTGGCTTAGTTGGTCAAGCGTCCGACTCTTGATTTTGGCTCAGGTCATGATCTCAGGCTTGTGAGATCAAGACCCACATCGGGCTATGTGTGGAGCCTGCTTGGGATCCTCTCTCTCCCTGACCCCCCTTCCTCATGCTCACTTGCTCTCACTCTCTCTCTAAAAAAAAAAATTTTAAAAAACAAAGTCACTAGATTGCATGCAGTATACCATTTTTACTATGCTATAAAAATAAGCAAAAATAGGGGCGCCTGGGTGGCTTAGTTGGTTAAGCGTCCGACTTTCGCTTGGGTCATGATCTCGCGGTTCGTGGGTTCGAGCCCCGCGTCAGGCTCTGTGCTGACTGCCAGCTCAGAGCCTGGAGCCTGTTTCAGTCTGTGACTCCCTCTCTCTCTGACCCTCCCCTGCTCACGCTGTCTCTCTCTCTCTCCTAGAAATAAATAAACATTAAAAAAAAAAAAATTTAAAAAAAAAAAAAAAGCAAAAATAAACATCAACAAATGGTTCAAAATTTATTTTGAGAAAAAGATAATGATAAAGACAAAAAGCAGAAAAGTAGTTACCTCCATAGTGAGTGAGATGAATGGGATGGGGAGAAGCAAGGACAGATGTAATGATATGGGGAATGTTCTAGTTCTTGGCGAGTGATAGGTTCACAGGAATATAATTTCTATGTTTTAATATGTTACACATATTCTTTGGGATGTACCAAATATTACATAGAACACTTTCTTTTAAAATGGGTAATCTAGCCCAACCCCAGCCAGTTTCTGGACCCAGTCCAACCCTGACAAGTCAGGTTTCTACATCGGATCCAGTATGCCTTCTGCTGGTTTCTGGACCCCGTCTGGAAGAAGAAATGCTCAAGTAAAGTCTGAAAGCTCCCAATGGAAAAGCCGGGATCCAAGCTAAGAGAGGAACTCATCCTCCTGCTCTAGAAAGAGAGAGAATTCAGGAGCTGAAGGAGCTCGGCAGGCATCTGCTGCAAGTAATGAAAAGCAAGTTAAGGAGCACTGTGACACTAACACCTGGTGCCAAACCCACACGATCACCTCATGGCCAAAGCTGAACACTTTGAGCAATGAAACAGAAAATGATAGCATTGGATCAGAATCCAGAGGATAAATGTCCCTGAGTTCATAAGGCTATAAAAAATATGTGATCGCACAGATAGATGGGAGTGAATGGACGTTCCCTTCTTTACAACAGAATTCATATTCTTACGAATGGAAGGGATGAAATTGAAATTGAGCAGTGAGCAAGCAGCGCAGGGATGCTTGCTGCATACAAGTTTTACTAATAGATGCTACAATCAGTGAGCGAACAATTGGGAGAGAAACAGGACAGACAGAATCTCAGAGATCTAGTTCCCAAGATATTTGCCAACTACACTGGCAGGGAGGATAGCAACTTTATAGTGGAACAACCCAGCAGAAACCATCTTCTCCAAGTCAAAAAAAGAATATGAGTGGCCAGTGACATTTCAGTAAGGCCTTGAGTTTAGTTAATGGTGTTGTTGCAATGTTAATGGTCTGGTTTGATTATAGTTATGTAAGATGGTAACACTGGGGGAGGTTAGCTAGAGGGTACACGGAAACTCTGTGTTCTGGTTTTGTTACTTTGTAGTAATTGTAAAAGTAGTTCAAAGTAAAAAGTGTGGTTTTTTTTTAATGGATAATCTAAAGAATTTTCTATTGCCAAATAGGTTATTCCAACTGTGATTATAATTCATATATAATTCATATCATAAGTAATCATTAATATCTCAAATATCTTAAGCTCCCGTGTAACATATGCAGCTTAGTTCTCAACTTGGAGCTATATCAAAACATCAAGGTACACATGTTAACTATATATACTTTCTGTCAACTACACCTCAGTAAAGCTGGAGGACAAAAGAAAGCAATGATTTCATGTTAACAATGGGTATTTCTATAGCAAGGAACAATATCCAAAGTATTAAAAATATTTAACAACTAGTTTGGCTATACCAATTAGTGTAGAAGTCAAAATTTACCACCATCTGCCTATTTTCCTTCTGTTCATTAAGCTCTCATACCAGTCCTTCAGAGACTGCCATTCCCAAAAGTGGCCACACGAGGGCGACTCTAACGACCTGTGCCTGCTGGGAGTGGGCAGCCACAGCTCCGGGGGTGTCCTCTCTGGCTAGTGAGCCCTGCTGGTTTGAGGGCCAGCAGAGAGGCTCCACAGAAGGCAGGTAGGGTGCCTCCCTGAGAAGGTGGCACTCAAGCAAAGATTTGAAGGAAACGGGAGCATGAACCATGCAGATCACTCGGGGAATTTTCCAAGGCAAAGAGCCTCTACTATAAACGCTAGGAGAGAACAGAGTCTCATGCTCTGGGAAGAGATAGGAGGCCAGTGTAGCGGGAACGGAGGCAGATAAGGCAGTAGCAAGAGGGCTGAGGGCCATTACAAGTAATTTGGCTTTTATCCTGAGTGAGATGGGAAACTGATACGGGGTTCTGAGAAAAGGAGAGACCTGAGGTGACTGTAAAACATCTCAAAATGGCTGCAATATTTTATTTAGAAAAGGTTGAAGGGGGGTAAGGACAGAAGTGGGGAGGCCAGCGAGGAGGGGACGACAGGTCTCTCATGGGGAGGAGGTTGGCCCGTGGCCAAGGGTAGCAAGTACTTTTAAAGTTCCATCACCCACATTCAACGAAGCACACGGAGATGCACTTAAAATCATGAAATCAGATGTCATCACCAGTGAAGGGGTGAAGAAGAAGACCGGAGGAGGTGCAGGAGGGGTGAGAAACCAGCAAGGGCTGGAGCAGGAGTGGCCCGCCCTCCCCACAACAGGTCACTGCCACCCTGGATTCAGATGTCTGTCATTCTCATGAATGTCTTCATATGTTCTCTACAAAAGGCTATACTTCTAGACAACATATAGAAGTCTTTTTGCATACTTTTCAACTTTTTTATATGGTATATACTTGATATTATTTCCCCAGCTGTTTCCCACGTCCCCAACCAACATTTGTGAACTTTACCCATGTTAATGTGTGTTGCCCCAGATCACTCATTATTCACTGCTGCCTGGCGTTCCTGCGTGTGAACAGGCCACACTGGGGTCATTTTCCTGCAGAGGGACACATGGGTTTTTTCCCAATTTCTGCTATGTGAAAAAAACACTGCCATGAGCATCCTCACACAGGCCTCCTTGTGTGAGACTTCTCTAGGACAGTGATCCTCAAACTGCGTCAGAGTCACCTGGAAGCCTTATTACAACAGATTTCTGAGCCCCATGTCCAGGGTTTGTGAATGATAGATTGAAAGTGGGGCCCAAGAATTTGCATTTTTTTTAATTAATTCATTCCTTATGAATTTACATCCAAGTTAGTTAGCATATAGTGCAACAATAATTTCAGGAGTAGATTCCAGTGATTCATCCCCTATGTACCATACCCAGTGCTCATCCCAACAAGTATCCTCCTTAACGCCCCTTATACACTAAGCCCGTCCCCCCCACCCACACCCCTCCAGCGACCCTCTGTTCTCTATATTGAAGTGTCAAGAATTTGCATTTCTAACCAGTTCCCCCGTGATGCCATTGCTACCTGTCCCAAGACCACACTTTGAGAAACGCAGCACTGGGGCACATGCCAGGAGTACAATGATGGTCACACATATGCATGGACATCTTCAGCTTTTCTAGGTACTGCCAAATTGCTCTGCAAAGTGGCTGAACCAATTTACATTTCTACCAGTGGTAAGTGTGTGTCCCTGCTGCCAACACTTGGTGCTGTCAGATTTTTTATTTAATCTGATCTTTAATCATTCTGTAAACTTATCATGGCATTTTTATCTACACAATACATGTAAATAAAAGCAACTTAAGACTTTAGGTCCTAGGGTAAATTAGAACATTTCCAAGCGTTTCTATAGACAGTCCCCTCAGGTTCTATCATCTGCTCAGCTACCTGCTTGTTTTTCCCATCAATCCTAAAAAGAAACAAAATGGTCTGGACAAATCATTAAGACCATTATAAAAGAAACTTTTTCGTGACCAACTGCACTGTAGTTTTATTTACTGTAGTTTTGTCTTTTTTTGTTGTTTGTTTTGTTTCATTTTGCTTTTACTTAATAAGGTGAAGGGAGTGAGGCAAATTGGGCACATGGATAGAGAAACTTAAACTTCCTTCACCCACATACCTGATCACTTTTGGAGGGAAATAAAGAAATCATACTCAGGAAAAAGTTCCTTCCATTTTGTTCCACATTAACAAGGGGACAAGAAGCTGGTACTCACGAATCTGGTTGGTGGATGCACTGTAGAAGGCATTGACAGTCGTTGGATTCGTAAACCACCTGTAGAAACAGAAGCAAATACCACCAAGAAATCATCATTATCCAGGCAGGAGGGCAACAAGAGAACACAATGTGGCAGGATTTATTAGCAACTAACCAGCGAACAATGGGGAAATAGGGCACATGGGGAAATTATCACTTCAGTTTAGGGTTATTGCTCTGTTGGTGAACAACCTCATCCTAAACTGAACATGGCTCAGTGAGAATATATTAACATGCCTGCTTATTCACCAGTACTAGCTTAACAGAAAAAGTCAGCACCAGTGCTTCTGAAATAGCTTTAATGAGAAATTCTAGAATCTAAAGGGCTCTCCTCATAGACAGAAATAGCAGCAAGCTGATGTTTGGCAGGCCCTGTTCAATGGGCCCATGGGACAGCTAACTTTCTATACTGAGTCATTTCTGACCTGTCCATTAAAGGTTTGAGATTGATGACAACACCGAAATCCATGTAAAGAGAGATAGATAAAGCATAGCCATGCTACCCAGAGGTTCTCCCTGCTCCAGTGGACAGCTTACACATGAAAGCGCCCAAAGAGCTAATGACTCCTCTTGCCTCTTTCACTAAGTAGCTGGATTGTGTTGGAATAGTTGCCCACCTTCCACCTTCCTGGGGCTTGGTTTTAACTATAAAATTAAGATACTGCATTAAGAGTCGGTTAACAGTCTAACTCTTGATTTCGGCTCAGGTCATGATCTCATGGTTGATGACTTTGAGCCCCACGTTGGGTTCTGCACTGACAGTGTGTAGCCTGCTTGGGATTCTTGCTCTCTTTCTCTGTCTGCCCTCTCCTGATCGATCTCTCTCTCTCTCTCTCTCTCTCTTGGGATTCTTGCTCTCTTTCTCTGTCTGCCCTCTCCTGATCGATCTCTCTCTCTCTCTCTTTCTCTCTCAAAAAATAACTAGACAAAAAATAGAAGTTTTTTTTTTTTTAAAGATACTGCATTAAGAGATCTGGGGGGTACCTTCCAGCTATAAAGAGTCTACATTCCAGGGGAACCTGGGTGGCTCAGTCAGTTAAGTATCTAACTTCTGCTCAGGTCATGATCTCACGGTTGGTGAGTTCAGGCCCCGAGTTGGTCTCTGTGCTGGCAGCTCAGAGCCTGGAGCTTGGTTCAGATTTTCTCTCTCTCTCTCTCTCTCTCTCAAACATAATTTTACAAAAGAGTCTACATTCCATTTAAAATGCATGGACTACATAGATCAGGGCTTAGCAAATTTTTTTCTGTAAAGAGTCAGAATGTAGACCTTTAGGCGTTTTGTAGGCAAAGCAGCAAAAATCAAAGATGTTATCTAGGTACTTCTTTAGTAAGAGAAAAACTTCCACAAAGTTTTATTGATATAATTAAAAATATGACTAAGTACAATTTTTTGTAAGACAGCCCGTTAATGAGAAGAATGGAATTCTTTAGAGGCAGAATAACATTTTGCGTAATTGAGATTCAGAGTTGGTACTTCCTATCACTAGATCGACTGTAAACATTTGTCTCTAAAAATCACTCTTTGCTCATGGGCCACACAAAAACAGGCATCAGGCAAGATTTAGCCCACAAGTTGCATTGTGCTGACCCCTGATTTAGACGTCTATGAGCTTCTGCCCTTTATGATAAAAACCAAGCAATCAGTCTTAAGCTAAATTACTCAAAATGAACTTATACAGATCCCTTCCCAAAACAATCATTTTACTAACTTTACTAACCCTAACTAATCTCACAGAAGAATTATGGCAAGCTAATAATTTATGTCAGACTAATATGAAACTGGTAGGAAATCCAAGTGGTGATTCTAGTTGATTCGCCCATACCTTCTCCCCATAAAGAAGTCCACAAATGTATCATTCTATTATCATTAGAAGTAGTAATAGTGGCAGCAAACATTCACTGAGCGCTCACAATGCCCTAAGCACTTCATATTCATAGGTCTTCCCTGTAGCAACTAAAGGAATTATGAGCCTATCTCACAGATGAGGACAATGAGACTTAACAAGCATTATATACTTGTACAAGGTCTGGTCTGACTCCAACCCAGTTCTCTTAAGCATTATAGTATACTGGAGACATTACTAGAAATCAAGAAAGAGAGCGCCTCCTCTAGTCAAAACTGAAACATATACTCCTTTCCATAAAATGTGTACTCTTTTCCTTCAGAGTTAGCAATGTTTAGCAAACAAACTTACTGGCTGGTCTACCTTCTTGAGGAAACCAGTGGAGGGGAAAACTACCTTTATTGTTCTAATGTCACTACCTGAGGTAGGTGGAATTATGTTCATGTCCTAATCCCCGGGCCCTGTGAATAGGTTACATTACATGCCAAAAAGGACACTGCAAATGCAATTAAGCTTAAGGAGCTTAACAGAGGGAGAGTGTCCTGGATATCCAGGTGGGCCCAATCTAATCACTAGTCCTTAGAAGCAGAGAGCCTTCTGTGGCTACAGTCCCAGAGATGCAAGGGAGGAAGTCAGATTCCAAGAGTTAAAAGGATTCTACATGCTGTTGCTGGCTCTGAGATGTAGGGACTATGGTGCAAGGACCAGAAAGAAGACTCTAGAAGGGAACAATGTCTCCCAAATGACAGCCAGCAAGGAAGGAGGGATGTCGGTTCTAAAACTAGCAGGTAGTGAATCTGCCAACTTCTCAATAAGCTTGGAACAAAATTCTTTCCAGAACCTCAGTTATAAGCCCAGCCAGCTGACACCTTGATTCCAGCCTTATGAAACCTGGGTCTCAGACACCAGCCAAGCCATCCTGTACTTCTGACCTACAGAACTGGGAGATAACACATTTGTGTTGAATTGCTAATGTTGGAGTAATCTGTTACGGCAGCAACAGAAAATTAACACATTACCCAAAGAACCCAGCATTTGTATGTGTGAAGATTGAGTCAAGTCCTAGATGACAGTGGACTGACGCATAATAGGTAGAAAAGATGATGTATATTCCTAGAGCCCATCCCTTCTCTCCCCTCCCTCCCTTCAGCAACGAATGAACTTGCAAAACACGAGGGGGCATGCAGGAAAAATGATTCTAACTGCTTATGAACAAAGGTGGACAAAACAAAGAAATCAAACAACCGGACAGGGTCTGATGGGGTCTCTGAAGCTTCAGCAAGAGTACCTAAAACCTCATATTTCAGACCCATGATCTCACCTTTCCTGACATGCCAGAGCTCCTGCTGTCTCTAAAGTATGTTTGGAGCCTTGACTGTACCCAGAGCTGATATTAAGTGGCTGCACCAGGAGATCCTACCACTTGTGGGTGCTACTGCTGCTTCTTATTGGTCACTGCCCATACCAGCCATTAAATATTCTGTATATCTCCCTGATTATATCCAAGTGTATTATATACTTAGTTTTAGTATTCTCTAACATAAGGCTACCTATTCTGATTTTAATAAGTGTTTGCAATCTTTTTTGCACTCCTCCCATTAAGAAGTGGAGTCTACATTCCTTTCTTCTGGAATATGGGCTAGCCTTGGCAACTTGGTTCTAAAACATAAAATGCAATGGAAATGACACGACAGGACTGCCTATGCTAGGCAATTAAGGTCAATACGACATCCTCCAAGTGTGCCCATATGCTCCCTTCCTCCTCTCTTTCTCAGGAACCTGCTCTCTGGAGCTTCCTGAGCAATCAGCATGCTATAAAGAAGCCCAGTAAACAAAGCCACAGGAGGCATTCCAGCCAACAGCCATCATCAGCTACTAGACATGAGAGAAAAAGCCTTCCCCATGACTCCAGCCCCAGCCACTCTCTGACTGCAATTACATAAAGCTCATAAACACCAAGCACCCCGCTGAGCCTGGTAAAGTGGTTTGTTAGACTGTAGGAGATAACTGAAACACTGACAAGTAGTTGTCCGTAGATTAACTTGTAACCAATGAGTTGACTTTTCTCATAAAAATGTTTTTGTCTGCCCAACACGATGGTTTTTAAAAGGACTGAACTGGAATTCCTTTAAATGAGGTATACAATGACTAGTTCTCCACAGTCCCCACCACACCCTATCAGTTACATTTGTCTACGTCACCATCTGTTAACTGATTGGGCCCTGAAAGCATATATGTTAACAACTTGTCTCCCAACAAGATGTTAACCTCCCTATGGGCTAAGACTATTGCCACAGTGGCATGTGCTGATCAGAAGATTATTACATCTATTTAAATGAATTTATTGCTATATACGCATCTACTTGAATAAACAGAGTGTCATTCAAATGCTTTAAATTCTTTTTACCATGACTTTAGGGTGTTCCTGCAGAATGTGTCTGGGGAAGGACTTAGTAGACAAAGTCAGAGAAGTTCTCATATAAATTTCAAAAGAAAAATATATGGGGATGAAATTATACTGGACAATGGAATACACAGAAGGAGTATAAAAGTAATAATGAAATGCAGTTGTTTAAAGACAAGGACATTGGTACCCCGATTTCTCTGAACCATATAAAATAGATATACATCAGGCTTAAATTTTACATTTTACCTATCAACTCCTAAAGATAGTCGAAGGAATATGGAATGGCCAAACCATAGAATATTTATTACTTTATTTATAATATCCTGTAGATTCTATCCTTCCCATTCCATGCTATAGATAACGCACTTACAAACAAAAATTCTGGACAAAATCATAATTTATATCAACATTTGATCTATTTTTACCTATTTTTTGAAAAGATAGAGAAAGAAAATCCAGACATGTCTGGTCACAGCAGAATGAGAGTGAATTAATGGGGAAGCTGACTTAAAGCCATTTCTGTCAAAGAAAAGGGATCCTAAGGGGAAAAATTACTTTTGAGTCAAGCCAAGCAGTAGAGTAAATCCTCTATTTTTAAGCAAGCTGATGAAGTGACAATTCTGAGAACCAACCCCTAAATATGTACCTTCAGGGATGACCACCCAATTAATTCCGTTCTTGCTGACATTTCCCATCACGTTAGAAACTTCTTAATGCACATTAGTTCAGCTAAAATGGATTCCATGAGAATGAAAGATAAAGGGTATTTATCTCCTATACCCACAAAGAAGCAAAATGTTATTTCAGAGCTTTGTGGAAATATAATCATGATGTGCTGTTCAAAGTAAACTAGTGTAGTGGAGCTACTCCAGAATCATTCCCACTAGATTAACTCATCAATTTTCAAAACTAAAAGATGTCAATTAAAGCCAGTGGTTATCGTGAAACTAAAATTCCCTACAACGCCTGAAAAGGAGCAGCCCAAAATTTCTTTCAAAAACTGAACTATCCTATCACTTTACCACACAAAGAGGACCTTCAATTTCTTAATGTTGCTTTCCCTGAAACAGACATCTAGTCTGAGGAAACAAGAATTAGTACTACTGCATGGCTTTTCATTCCTATATAACTTTTCCAGAAACATTAACCAATTTAATGTCCTTGTGAAATAAGTATTTGTTTTCACTGATGGAGAAGAAAACTACACAGAATCACGCAGTTTGCCTAAGCTCACAAAGTCAGCCAGCATTTTTCCAAGGCATGAATGAAATATTAGAAATAGTCAAGGCCCTTAGAATCTAACAGTCCATCAGCATTTTAGGATGATGATAAAAAGGACACATTTTGGAGTTTTTCTTTTTTTTTATTTTATTTTATTTTATTTTTTTTACTTTTATTTTATTTATTTATTTTATTTTTTTACAAATAGTTTATTGTCAAATTAGTTTCCACATAACACCCAGTGCTCATCCCCACAAGTGCCCTCCTCCATGCCCATCCCACCTCCCCCCCACATCCATCAGTCCTCAGTTTTTGTCAGCATTCAAGAGTCTCTCATGGTTTGCCTCTCTCCCTTTCCCCCACCATTTCCCCCCTTCTTCTCCCGGTTGGTCCTCTGTTAAGTTCCTCCTAGTCCTCCTATACGTGCACACATATGATATTTGTCCTTGTTGGGAGAATTGGACAGCAACATGCAGAAGAATGAAACAAGATCATTTTCTCACACCATGCACAAAAATAAACTCAAAATGGATAAAGGACCTGAACGTGAGACAGGAAACTATCAACACCCTAGAGGAGAAAGCAGGAAACAACCTCCTTGACCTCCACCGCAGCAACTTCTTACTTGACACATCCCCAAAAGCAAGGGAATCAAGAGCAAAAATAAATTGTTGGGACCTCATCAAGATTAAAAGATTTTGGAGTTTTTCAATTAGCAACAGAGGCCTTGCTACACACCCAAATGCATAACGGCATTTTGAAATTAAAGAATTAACTTGACAGCATCTCTAATATGGAGAAGCGCAAACTCCAAAAATTCAGGAAAATACTGGTGACAAAAATACCTTGAATTATCCACAAACTCCAAGAAGACTTTGAACCGATCTGAAGTAGATCTGAAAGAGCAGGATGATTCAAACAGATCTGTGACTACCATACTACATGGAGATGCTCATTAGGATACTGGAAAACATATGCCAAAGTCAGATTCGAGAAGCTACTTTTAGAACCCTAAGTCTAAAATTCCTTTTTATTTTGTACATCTAAAATTTCAACTGACTAATTGAGGTTAGGAATAAAGAGGAGAGACGGGCTTAGACATACTGTGATGGGAGGAGAGAACCAAGCACAGTGGAGCACATGACTTGAAAGCAGTTACCTGTTTTCCAAAGAAGTCTGAAAGCCTTCTAACCCTCTGTGTTGTTTTGAATGGAGTCAGGGATGGGTAGCGCAATAGTTCAGCTTCAGGCCTACTCCTTAGAGTGAAACATGTTGAATTAACTTTGTGGGTGGATGCTGTAGAAAGGCCAAAAGGGAAGAGGGCAGGGATAGGTAGATGGGAGCCATGGGTAAGAGGGACAGGGAGTAATCACAGTGTAAGCCAAGGGTTGATACAGAGCCTAAAGTTTCTAGAGTCTAGAACAGAGCAGGGAGTTGGGACGGAGAGTAAGAAGAGACTCGGAGCATAAAAAGTGCCGTCCAAGATCCAGAGACCAGAATATCAGCCAAGGTTAAAAAGTGGGCCATAAAAAAAGTAGACCATGGAAACTAGGCTTCCAGCTATGATGCTATGAAGTAGTCAGCAAATCCCTTCCACAAAAATCAAATATAAAAGTGGACAAAAGGGTCAACAAACAACCATTTTAGGACTCTGGGAATTGATCACCAAATCCTAACAACAAACTGAAAAATGTTTAATTTTGAAAAATTGCTAAACCTTGGAAGTAAGTAGCCCAGGAGTCTGTGTCCTTCTTGCCGGGGACTGCTCCTGCCCTTCCTGGTGGGGTCAGTGAGAACTTTGTTCTGTCAGGACACACAGGGCTGGCTGGCAAATCAGCAGCTCTATTGCCACGGTGGGCAGACTCAGTTGGAGGTGTATGTGAAAACCTGCAGCTTCAGCAGCTCAAAGTGAAAAACTTGGTAGAAAACAAATGAAAGGATACCCATAGCTCTGCTAGCCTAAAGTTACAGTTCACACTAGCAAGAGTGACAGGCAAGCCCGCAATTTTTTTTAATGCTTATTTATTTATTTTTGGAGAGAGAGAAAGAGAGACAGAATACTCCAGCAGGAGAGGGGAACAGAGAGAGAGGGAGAGAGAGAGAATCCCAAGCAGGCTCCGCACTGTCAGCACTGAGCCCGATGCAGGGTTCGATCTCACAAACCATGAGATCATGACCTGAGCCAAAGTCAAGAGTCGGGTGCTTAATCGACTGAGCCACCCAGGTGCCCCAAGCCAGGAATTTAAAAGGGAGATCTTGGAAATAAAATAGTCATAGAAGGGTGAGGTAAGCTCTCCACACACTCCTGGCTGACCGGGACACTAGTCACACAAACGGGAGAGACTCAGGTGAGCCCAGTGGAAAGTGAACCCCAAAGCTGATTGATAAATGTACTCCCAGCCCATAAACAGATCAAGTGGCAGAGGACAGAAGCCCTCCCGACTCCAAGTATTTGACCAAAAGGTCTACCTACCCCAATCCCTGGCTGAGCGCTAAGCTGTGCAGACACAGAGACAACAACTAGGTAATGAGGCTCAAAAATAAAAATAAGAATTTAAAAGATGAGCAGAGACCTCCATGGCCGCCTACTATATATAAGGAGATAAGATTCTGTGGTCTAAGTCAAGGAAAGTTATCTTTTTTTAAAGCCTCAGAAAAATAAATCAGAATCCACAGTTGTTACAATATAGTATCCAAAATGTCATTTTCAATGACAAAAAAAATTATGCTCTACAAAGAGAGAAAGTGTTAAAAAAAAAAAAAAAGGCAGTCAATAATAAAAACTGAGCAAGGCCAGATGTTAGATTTAGCAGACCTGAAAGCAACCATTATAAATTAGTCTACAGAATTAAACTATATTCCAAGAATTAACGGTAAATATGATGGTGACTGAATGAACAGAAAATCACAACAAATAGAAACTAAAAAACAACCAACTGGAAATTCTGAAACTGCAAAGTACAATAACCAAAAATTAAAAATGTGTTACATGACTCAAAAGCAAATTTGAAAATGCAGAAAAAACAACCCACAAATTTGAAAGCAGATCAAAAGAAATTATGCCATCGGAAGCACAGCGAGAAAAGAGCAAAGAAGTGGGCGCCAGCAGAACCAAGAGCAATCTACACCTTACATGGAACACCGTGTTAAGTGTTTTTCAATAAAAAATTATCTAAACCTGTAGTGAAGAATTTAATTGTAAGCCTCCTATTTGATACATGGGGATAATAAATAGTACGTACACCTCACAGAAATGATGAGAGGATAAAATTTATTCTAACATGTAAAGCATTTCCCGGCACATTGTCAACATAATAATTGTTAGTTACTAATGAGCATCATACACATTTTGCTAAGGAAGGAATCATGGCTGGCCTTGGCCCCAAAAGTTCCTAGGGAAAGTGCCTACCTTTAGGGAAAGTTCCTATGGGCAGCTGGGAGGAAGGGGAATAAATCAAAACTGCTCTTGGAGAAAAAATAATACATCCATCAGTTCTGGGACACTTAATTGCTTCAACAAAATGTTCTAGTTACTTCATAATTATACAACTACTTCTACATTTGTAACCATATTTTTAAGTATTTGTTCTTTTTTAAGACCTTCAAAAGTTTCTGCCTGTGTGTGAAATTCTAGAGAAATTTGTTTTCTATATACATATATTCATAAATATATCTAGAATGATCTGCAACTATGTACCCTAATAAGCCTTCCTGCAGTACATTTTGATCCCATAATTAGAACGAAGAACAGGTGCATATAATATCACAAATAAGACATCAAAACCTAACATAGATTTTGCCAAACCAAGGTAACTGGCCAGCCAGCTACTCTGACTAAAGGGAATTACAAAATTCAACCTAAAGAGACTTCACTTCCTACCACATATTTATCTCTTTCACCTTTTTTAATTTTTTAATTTTTTTTACTCACTCTGTTTTTGGAACCGCTTTTCTCAGCCAGAAGAAATCAGACTGTGCTAAATACTTGCGGGTTTGCAGGACATTGCCAAAGTAGTCGGATTCTGAAAACTTGATCTGAATAAAACAAACCACAACCGTCAGTGTTCAAAGTGCAGATAAAAGAGGGCTCTGCAAAAAGCCTTCTGCACTCAAAATCAGCAACCAGTGGAGAAAAACTGCACTCTTCCCAGCATCTCTCAGCCACCACCAGTTAACCCAGTATCCACAAACCCATGAAATTTAATCTCAGTGATTTTCTTTTAAAATAAAAATCTCCCAAATCAATACAATTGTTTCTGGATCACAGTAAAACAAACAAAAAACAAACAAACAAGAGAAGCTGCACTAATTTATGATGCGTTTCACTTGCCTCATAATTGAAAAATCTACTTTAACCTTTACAGAACCTATTATCTTAGGTTTGAAATTTCTTGGCTCACATGAGACCTTGGTCTTTTCTAAAAGGTATACTTTACTGTAACATAGGTTCTTCTAATAACATTCAGTTTAGTCACCTAAAACCTCATTTAGCTTATAGATGATGATTTAGTCAAATGTTAAAATCCAATTTACTGTAATCAGCATTTATTCATGAAGGAAAAAAAATGAAAAGTGATTCAGAGTCTTATTTACCACCCTGAGCACAAAGCAGTCCCTAGAATAATTCCATTATTAACAGACATTTGTCTATTACCACTCAAAAAATTGTCTGGTCACCAAAAAGTAATGACATTACAGAGGCAAATCATAGATTACAGCTTGCACTGAAAAACAGGAAGCTGATGTCTCAAAATAATTTGCATATTATAATTGGGAAACAGACATAAAGGATTCTTGAGTTCCTTTTCCTTTTTTGGAAGGGGAATGGCAAACAATTCCAATTCTATTGGCACTCTACAAAACAAGTTAACTTTACTTAACCTAAACACTATTCAATAATATCTGTATAATAGTAAAAGCAATGGTTTATAGTAACATCTAATACTTTGGTTTTAAAATATATTACTGGGGTGGGGCACCTGGGTGGCAGAGTCATTTGAGTATCCAACTCTTGGTTTCAACTCAGGTCATGATCCCATGGTTCGTGACTGTGAACCCCGAATCAGGCTCTGTGCTGACAGTGCGAAGCCTGCTTAATATTCTCTTTCCCTTCTCTCTGCCCCTACCCTGCTTGCTCGCTCTCTCTCTTTCTCAAAATAAATAAACTTTTAATTAATTAATTATATTACTAGCACAAATAAGAAAAATACATGTTTGAATAAGCAAATAACCAACAGTAATCAAATACTTATTGACTGTAATATTTTTTGTGTATTTAAACCATATGATTTTAAAAGCAAAATTTAAACTACAGCAAACCCAAGTATACGAAACCCACAGGCATTACATTATAAATATTATACACACATGCACACACACAACTTGATGGTTATACATTTGACAGTCACCTATTTGTTGGCCAATGTCTAGGTCACATTTACCTCTTCCCTAATATACAATAGATACTCATTGTGTCTGTAGAGTAACTCTGTTAATGATTGATCTTGACCTTTCCAGGAGTCAGGTCAAAATATAAACGAAGGAGCAAAACAAAGGAAGGCACAGGGAGAAAGTTAGGAATCAAAGTATCAATTCCTGGCATGTTTGCTGTTCTACTTGACCAACCAGTTATAAAGATACGACTTTAAGCTGTCCCTCCTTCGAGCCTCTTAGCAAAGTGGCTGCTAAATAAATTGTGGTACAGTCACATAATGGAAAACAGCATGGCACTTTAAAAGAGTGGCACGTATGCATGAACATGAGATAATCTCAAAAGCGATGCTGAGTGAATAAGGCAAGTTGCATGTAATGAGCTAATTTAAAGTTTTAAAACATGTAAACCAAGACTATCTGTTGTTTATGGATGTGTATCTATGTAGCAAAAGCATAAAGAAATGTATGGGAATGATAAATACTGAATTCAGACAGAGTTTATATCTAGAGAAGAGGCAGGTAAGAAGAAAGGACATTAGGTCAAGGCGGATTATAAAAAGAATCTCCACTGTATCTATTTTATTTATTTCAAATGTATGTGTGCACTACAAAGCTAATGTAGCAATGTTTAATATTTATTAAAGCTAGAGGTGTTCAAAATTTGATTTTACATACCTTCCCAATGTTTCAGATGCTTCCAAATAAAATCTCACAATTGACTGTATTTAAAAATAGAAGAAATGTATACCCAAAGCCTCAGAAGACACAGAGTAATAAGCTCCTTGTTTTAGGAAACAACCTCTTAACTAACAATCCTAATGCATTCCTGGGTCATATAGTTAAAAGATGTATCTGCTGTTCTACCCTTAGCCTTTTTTTTAGCTTTTATTCCCAAGATAGCTCTGCCAGAACTTTCAGAGTATGATTGTAACTGATGAAAATTTCAGATATGTTCTTGTGCTCTTCACACTTTCTAGGAAATTCTCTCAAATGAATTTCATTCAAAAATAGGAACTTTTCAGTAATATCAATAGGATTGGTTGTTACTTTTAGAAGAGCTTGCTAATTGCGATGCTTTCCATTTAAAAAAATGGATACTGTTCCATTCAAAAAAAATAAAACAAAAAAAAACCCTTGATATCCAGGTTGTTCTCTAGGCAGTAAATGGAAAACCATCCAAAATTTTCCTAAAAAAGAAGAGTCCAAAGTCTAAAAATACTTTTCAATAAATAAGGTCCTACCATTGCCATAAAAATGATCATGGAGAGCAAAACTCAGAGGCAAGTAACTACAATTTGTCAACAATTTATCTATATTTACAAGGCAATTTTAAAATTGTATTAATCATTAAACAGGCTTTTGCGATTTCTTAGCCTACTTTAATCACCCTAGTCCATTTATTTAATGGAAACCACAGGTAACAGGGGACAAAATTTTGCTTTTTCCTGTCACACGAGTTAAGTGTTTGGGGGGAGGGAAGGGCTAGCCTGTTATTCCCAAATGATGGATGGAAAAAGAGCTGGAGATGATAGAACTTGGCAAGGCCACTTCAAATCAATGCTACTTTCACTGGTCTCAATAAGAACGCCGGGGATTCAACAGAAACAGTACAGGGAAGGAGGAGGGGACTGTAAGAATTAAGAGTGGGAGGAGAAGCAGTGAGTAAATACATTATGGCAGTTTATTTATCACACAGCTTTTAAAATAATGCTAGCTAAGGCTCTGGAAGACCAGGACAAGAAAGTAAGTCATGGTAAAGGTTGGTATACAAAATTATATGTAAGCATCAATTTCAGCAATACAAAACTAGGAAGAAAATAACACACTGAAACAGAAGTAAGCATTATTATGTGCCAGTACCAATATTATGGGTGCTTTTTCATTCCTTTTCTCTATTTCCCAAATTTTCCACCATGTGATAATACTTTGATAATTTCAAATATTTCAACAGGCCCTTGAATGAAAAGGGAAAAAACTATGCAACCCAGCAACCACTAGGAAATTTTCACTTGCAAAGATAGCAAGAACAACAAATGCACATAACCATTGTAAAACCACCTGTGATCTTCAAAAATAATGTTTAAACTCTACAAAGGACACTAATTGGCTCAAAAGCCTCTTGTCCTATCTGTTACTGGTGAAAAGGTAGGTCAAGTTGATAATGATTTTCAATCAATTACATCTCCTGACTTTTCAACTGGGTGATCTTTGGGAAAGTATTTGGGGCTCTCATGTCACTTCCTACAAACAGTTGTCCAGATATGAAAATTCAGGGGAATCTGAATTTTTCTTCTTGGAAAGCCTATCCTGGATACCAAGCATCAAATATTGCACATTTAAGGTATAAAGGGATAAAGCTATTACCACACCTCAAGGGTGAGGAACACGTAGGAGGGGCAGAACAAGGCATTGTGATCAGCTTCCCTTAGGGTAAGTACATGTTGATAAGACACTACACAAGCCAATAGGATGTGCACTTAAAACAGTGTTAAGCTGAATCCATGTAAAGATATTCAGAGATATATCTGAATATCTGTAAGAAAGGTTTTATGTTAGGCACCTACAGAATTTTCTAAAACCTTAATGTCAAAAAATTAACAACAGAACTCCCCTGGGACCCAGCAATAGTACTGCTAGGAATTTACCCAAGGGATCCAGGAGTGCGGATGCATAGGGGCACATGGACCCCAGTGTTCACAGAAGCACTCTCAACAACAGCCAAACCATGGAAAGAGTCTAAGTGTCCATCAACAGATGAATGGATCAAGAAGATGTGGTTTATCTATACCATGGAATACTACATGGTAATGAGAAAGAATGAAATCTGGCCATGTGTAGCAATATGTTACGCTGAGTGAAATAAGTCAGTCAGAGAAGGACAGATACCATATGTTGGCACGTATAGGTAGATCAGGAGGAGCTTAGTGGAGGACCGTGGGAGAGAAGAAGGGGAAAAATAGTTGGAGAGAGGGAGGGAGGCAAACCATGAGAGACTCTTGAATGCTGAGAACAAACTGAAGACTGATGGGGGTGGGGGAGAGGGGAAGGGGGGTGATGGGCATGGAGGAGGGCACTTGTTGGGATGAGCACTGGGTGTTATATGGAAACCAACTTGACAATAAACTATTAAATTTTTTTTATTAAACAAACAATGGAATTCAGATTTCATACTTCTATTTTCCCTTATTTATGGCAAAGTAATATGCAAGACTGCTCCATTTAGATGGCTTTGTCCATAAGTATTATGTGCATATCCATCCATCCATATATATATACATACAGAGAGACAATGTTCAAAATGTTGAACAACTTACATATATGGTATACTGCAGATGAGGCAGTTTCCAAAAGCAGCCACATATGGGTGACTCTCAGGAATGCCAGCTAGCACACCAGCCAGGAACCACATGGAACCAGATACCTTGTAGCCACCACTGGGAGAAAGGGGAGGTCATGGTCTGATCTTGCCAGGGGAATACTAAAGATAGAGGCCAGTTTGTAGGAGTTAAGGAAAGCTGGTTGAAAGGTTAGCAGGTACCAGGGCACTCCTCTCCAGTGCCAATTCTTGGCTCTTCAGGACCATGGTAGCCAGAGATAACTTGGGAGAATTCAGGACAATGTTTTCTTTCTTTACCTAGTGTATACAAGTATTTACAACCTGTTTTTCTGAAGCATGTCCCCTAAATATCACCTTACTCTTGCATAGTGGCAGTAGCACTCTCTGTCATTCTCACACACACACAGAAGCTCCACTGGCTAGAGCAGAACAAGACCCACCCCAGAGAATATTATGTGGGTTCACACATCTGTATATCTCTATATGTGTATTTATATTTTTATGTTTGTATGTGTTTATCACTCACCAGAAACACTGATCTTCTCTGAAAAATTATCCAGATCCAAATCTCCTAAGTAAATAGAGGCCAGCTGGGACTCTGACTTGAGCCCTTACTCCAATTCTCCATTGGCTTTCACAAAAATGAATGAAATGCCTAGTGGGGGCAGCTATTTACCTACGGTGTCTCAGCTACATGCCCACTCTTTTATTATGTTCTATAATGCTGGGTGTGGGAATCTGAAAACTATATTTCCCAGGCCCAAGTGCCAGTTGGTTTTCTGCCAATAGGAGGCACTAGGCGAACTCAGCAGGTGGCAGAAGGGGAAAAGCTGCTGTGTTTGCTCTCTTTCATTCTCTCTCCTCTTTCTTCTGATGATGCTGCTGGAGTTATCTTCAGCCCCTCTTCCTATTAATTCCCCCCGCTTTGAAATACCTAGTGTGGTTCTGGCTTTCCCAGCTAACACACCAACCCTTCCACAACTGGTGTCAACTCGCTCTTGGGTCTGTTTTCATCAAGCATCAAGGAAGGAACATTTTGTAAGGCCAATTTGAAAATGGACCTACGCCTACATTTTTAAGCTAATCAGTAGTGTGTCCCGCATACTACTGGGGGTTCACACAAAGAGCATCCCCTGCTCTTTTCAAAGACAAAAGTAAGATTGTTGTTCAAAAATACTTTGCTGGGTATCTCAGTTTACCTTGTCAGCCTCAGAGAGGGAAAATTTTTTTTTCTCCAATTCTTTACATTTGCCTCTGAGTTCTTTTCCATTTGCTCTTATCTCCACATGAGCCCAACTCAGTCTTCAACCTTTCTCCTTGACCTTCATCTGATTCGTTACCTAATCTCTATCCTCTTTCCTTTAGCCATTCTGCCTGACGAATCATATCTTCGCTTGCGTCAAATGAAGTAAGCTTTTTCATTTCCAATAGCCTCTCAACACTCAGAGCTTGTATTACCAGAAATTTCTCACAGGCCCTAGAGTAGTCCTTATCTACATGTTTCTCAAAACTGAAAACACAGCCTCATTGTATAACAGCAATACTTTAGTCCCATTGCTATTAACCTCGGTGACACTATTACTGTCTATCACATCAAGCATCCTTTACCTATTTTCAGGTTGGGTTTTATTCATTTCTTCTATCTATTTCTGAACACAAATGTATTTTTATTTCAGTATTTGGATGTTTTTTCATCAACTGTTTTTTAAACTATTAGAAATTCTTGGGTTCAATCGTGTCTACTATGGCAATGAATCAGATGAAAGCCGTTTCTTGACAAAAGATCTTACAAATCTTGGTGTCTAATGGCTTCAGTTCAGACCCTGGAGAAACAAGGAAGCATACCTAACACTGCACCCTGTCTGGCATCTGGATTCAGTGTAAGCACTCAATGCATTCGGTGGGTACTTACATTTTGGGCACTCACCTTAGACAACAGCAGACTGCCAACAAAAGCTGATCAACTAAATATGGTCAGTGAGCCCTCGATGCTATCTTATTTGATTAAAGCCTGAGACTGTTCCATCTGTATAGCCTTTTAAATCAATTTGAGGCACCTGGATACTGCACGAGTCAATTCATAATGACTTTTCCACACCAAAATAACCTATCATAACTATATATTAAAGATGTCCTAATTGAACACCTTATGTTGTGCCAGCGTTGATTATAAATATTCTAAGTATGTTAACTTATCTGATCTTCTTCACAGCAGCCCTATAAGGGAGGGATTATTATTGTCATCTCCACTTCAGTATGAGGAATCTGAGGCACAGAGAGGTTGCATGAGATACCCTAGGTCACACAGGTAGTAAATGGCAGACCAGGGATTTAACTCCAGGCACTTTGATTCCAGGACCCACGTATATACCCACACACCAAAATGCCTCTCACAGTGTTTCATCTACATCTTTGACTTGGAATAGTTGCCAGTCCCACTCAGGCTCTCTAAGGCATTTTGTGCCCTGGGGATGCTCTTCTCAGCAGTGAGAGTTATCATTCTGATCCACAAGTTAAGATAGTTCTCATTCTGATCTACCCCTCATAGGGAACCTACTTATGCAGCAGAACATTATGACAGGCGCTTTTACATTTATATACTTGTCCTTGGAATGTGAGTTCTGCTTGCCTTTCCTGCTCACAGAGCTGGCTCCAAGGACACAGCCTTGATATAGTGATGAGGTGTTGAGAACACCCACACAGTATATGTGACTGAACCTAGTTATGGCCTCTATATAAACTTAAGATTTGGTGGGCAGATGCAGGGATATACTCATCTTGCTGCCCTAGTATGTAAGTCCCCTTGGCTTATTAAACTACCACCTGCCAACCTGGTGTGGCCTGCCTCTTCCTTCAGTTCCCGCCCACTGAGCATGGGGGCTGGTTTCAGATTGCCCCCAGGAAACTTCTGAGGAGCTTGCAAACCCACAGCCAATCACCAAAGGGAAGCTACCTGAAGCTGCACAAGATCAAACGACTAATAAATGGAAAAGGCAGAATCACTCCAAGGCTTGTGCTTTTAATGCCTTGGCAATATGACCTCCCACTCTTTTCTTCCCCCTTCCCCACCGGCTCTGGGAAGCGTCTCCCACCGATTCTTCAAATCTGCTACTCTTCCTCCGGTGCAGGTACCTGACCAGGACCTTGCAGAACCCTTCTCATCACAAGCAGAGCTTTCTAGACCCAGATGTCAGTCCAGGCTCTGATATTCTGTAGAACACTGAGGAAATCACTGAACATCTTTGAGTCTCTACGTCCTTTTCTGCAAAATGGAGAAAAACACCATCTCCTTCATAGGATCACCGTGGAGCTTAAAATATAATGCACAGGAATGTGTCCGGTGCAGCAGTTATTTTTAATGATCATAATAATACTGAGACTGTTCAGCATCAAAACAATGTATAAGACAGGCTGAAGCATAAGCATCTTCCTGCATGGCAATACTTTGGTCAACTGGGTCAATACTTTTGAAGGCTATACCTTGGAGCCCAATGGGGAAACCTGATCATTAAAGCTTTTTCTCACTTCTGAATAATCTTATAAAAGTCTGATATTCATCTACAAAGCTAGGACTGCTTCTGGAATATGTGACTTGTCAAACCACAATTTCAGGGAAGATCTATACCTCAGAACCTTACTTACTTAACAAACTAAAAAACTACTTTTTTAAGAAAATCTATTAAGTGGTAAAAACAGAGAGTTTTGTGAGGAAGAAAAGTTCTTTATCAGAACTATTTACAGGAAAGGAAGTAACACTCCTTGTGATTAGAAGGGTCTGTTATGAATACATCTACTGGAAAATACATGTCCCAAAATATTAGAATACAAAAGAATTATTACTATTCCTCTATCAATAACTTACTGCAAATATACAGTCCAACTCACAATAAATTATAGAGTCATATGTATGTGTACTTAATCTGCCAAAACACTCATAAAGTTTAATGAAGTTAACTCCCAGCAGGCAGATTTATTACTAGTCACTTAATATGAATCAAGCACATAAAGAATGTTTAACAACAAACATCATGCATTTTACATTAGAACACACCCACTAATTGTAAAATACTCAATTTGTTTAATTCTTTCCTTTATGATCAAATCAGACTGAATTCAGGTCCATTTGCTTTATGGTACCCACTCAGCTATGCATTCTTTCTGACATTTCCTTTAATTTGAATCTGTTCTAAATCTTCTTATATGCCTGGCATATTGAGGCTCGTATCTAGCCAAGGAATGAATCAAAAGTTGGTGCTTTCTGGCACTACACGGTTTACGTGCTTGGACTTGGGTTAGTTGAAAGGCACAAGGCCAGAAAAACTTGCCAAAAAACAAAAATACAGTATATTTAGCACTTACTGCTTTGAGGTCTTCATTAACATAAGTGTCATTCATTATAAATTCAGGATACCCAACTTTTGCCAAAACAGCTCTTGCCTATAAAAAGGAAAGAGAAAAATGATGTCAGAGTTTCAGCACTTAAATCATTAATAATCACACAATGTAGGAATGCAACTTTCATCTCCAAACTCTCTTTACTGAGTATTTAGTACAGTATATGCAACCCACTGTGAAATGCAGGGAAAAAAAACACTTTTTTAAAATTTAGTCCCTACCTTCAATATACTAGCAATACAGTAAATGTAGCAAACACATATATAGTAATAAATAAAATGAAGGTTTTAAAAGAAAGAAAATATTGTTATCCAAGTCCAAAGCGAAGACTAATCCCTCATGGGGAAAATGTTTAATGAAGGTGACCAAACTGATCCTTAGAGAATGGTTGGGATTTCAAAATGCAGAAGTGAGGGGTGCTTGGCTGGCTCAGTCGGTTAAGCGTCCAGCTTCAGCTCAGGTCATGATCTCATGGTTTGTGAGTTCAAGCCCCACATCAGGCTCTGTGCTGACAGCTCAGAAGCTCAGGGCCTGCTTCAGATTCTGTCTCCCTCTTCCTCTGCCCCTCCCCCACTCATGGTCTATCTCTGTCTCTCTCTCAAAAATAAACAAACATTTTTTTAAAATGCAGAAGTGTGACAAAGAACATTCCAGAAGAGCAAACAACAGGGGCAATGACAGAGCCCAGGATAGAAGGTCACATGGCATAGAGAGGGGGTATACCTTGCTATAGATGGACTAGAAAGCACTAGGAGGGTGAGAGCAGTAAACAATGCAGGAAAACCGGTTTGGGCCAGTTCACAAAGATTCCTGAATGCCATGCAAAGAGTCTGTATTTTATTTTAGAAATAGGAGAGAACAGGGGTGCCTAGATGGCTCAGTTGGTGAGCTGTCCGACCGGCTCAGGTCATGATCTTACAGTTAGTGAGTTTGAGCCCCATGTCAGGGGTTGATAGCCCAGAGCCCGCTTGGGATTCTCTCTCTTCCTCTCTCTCTCTCTCTCTCTCTCTCTGCCCCTCCCCTGCTCATGCTCTCTCTCTCTTTCTCTCTCAAAAATATATAAAACATTTTTTAAAAGTCAGTAGACAGGAGAGAACTAAATATTTTTAGTAGGAGTAAGACAGGAGGAGACACCCTTCAGCAAGATTATCATGCCACACTGAGAATGATAGTGGCCAGGATCCCTGAAAGACTGGAGGTAGAGAGTCCAGACTAACTTAAGATGTGTCATAACCATCCTTTTGATAGACATACTAATTACTCCCTGTGTTCTGCAGCATAAAAAGAATGAAGGAACGAAAAATCATGTTAGGCACATACAAGGAGTTTGCACAGCAGGGACTGGCAAACCATGGCCCCTAGGCCAAATCTAGTGTCCCCTCTCCTGCCCACCCCCCCTTCCATCTGTTTTTATATAGTTTTACTGGAACACAACCATGCCCACTCATTTACATGTAATCCCTGGCTGCTTCTGCACTACGGAGGCAGAGCTGAGTAGATGGAACAGAAACTCTGTAGCCCACAAAACCTCAAACATTTACTATTCTCCCCTTTATAGAAAAGGTTTGCCAACTCTTGCTCTGAAGAAACTTTACAATCCCATGTGAAAATCTGTCTCTCTCCTCTCCCAGATTCTGGATTTCATAAAAACCAAAGAGTGGCTTACTCAAAGAGTTAGTACATGGTAAGGGATCTGCCCAGATCCCCCTGGGATCCCTTCTATTGCTTCTCCACACCCCTCTCCAGCATCTCATGTTCTTCTTTTCTAGTAGCAGGCACATCAGATCTTAGAAGGCCTGCCCTAGGGCTAGTGGAGCCAATGGCCCGCATTCAAAACAGTTCCTTCTTGGGACTTCATCTACCTTCAGATCCCATCCCCACTCTCTCCCACCCCAGCGGCTTTGAGCCAATGACTGGCTGTAGGAGAAGTAGGAAAGCCCAGCTGTTTTGCCTCAATTTGGGACAAACTGTGAGGTCCGATTTGCACTCCAGAGTTCCCCTAAACTTCCCTTAAAATCACACTCTTGGCTGTCTCTCGCTCTTCTCTGGCTAGCTTCCCCCATTCCCTCAGTGGTTTCTCTTGGGAACACTTGCAGAATAAATCCTAAATACCATGCCCCCAAATCCTCATCTCCAGCTTTGCCACCAGAAGACCCAACACTAGACACCAGGCAACACCAAACACACTGGTTTTATTCAAGCACAGCAAAATCAATGACCTTTGCACATTGCTCTTGGTAATGAGTTGTTTTCCTTTAGTCCCTTGCAATTTTCCTCACCCAAGAAATAAATACAATAAGATAATACATTTTCCTTATCTTCCTTCAGATAATTCAGATATTAAATATCAGAAGAAACCTGAAACTCATGACTCAAAGGATTTTACAAGTGCCACAGGACACAGTCATAAGGGGTTTTGCTGTCCCAGCCTCAAATATACCACAGATCAAATTCTGCCTTCAAATTCCTGTGAGTTACACTGAAAGCCTGATGTGAACTAGAGAACAAATAACTAGAGGTTACAACTTTCCCCCAACACCACACAATGCCTCTTCTGCCTGTAAATTCCCTTGTTTCAAGACCGTTGTACTATTTCTCTCATGGCATTTAAGTCCTTATTGCATTTTATGAGCTCACCACTAGTCACATGAGTAACACAGAGCAAATAAAGAGCTCCAGATAGTTTCCCCAAAAGTGAAGAGATGTATAAGCTGAGTCATCTACAATCGTTTTCTGAATATTGGTCTTCCTGGAGCATGCTGATGAATTATGCATTGTTTTTCAAACCTCACGCTCTGGGACCCCCACTGCACTATGGAGCTTCACGGAATATATTACCTTCTACACTGTACATGCAGGTCACTGAATCCTTTATTTTTTATTTAGCAATACCAAGACCTGAAGAGAGCCAGAAGAGAAATAGAAAGAATCTGTAATTCATCTCCCAAGGACACATAGATAGAATAAGATAATAAGAATAGTACCAACACTGCCAACAGCTGAACAGAGTGCTCTTCTTCCCAGAATGTGCCCTTTATGTATGCCTCCATTCAAGTTCAAACAGTCCCTCTGTCAGATGGTCTGTCATCAGTTCCACATCATCCTACCCCACCCCATTCGACATTCTTCGCTGAGAAGCTTCAGAAGTCCATCTCCAGAAATCCCATGGAGCATGGCTCCACACTAGAATCTGCCACTGAGAAGCACTTATAGTACAATGGAAAGGCAGAAGGAGACACTATTCACTTCCATTGGAAGCTATAGGCAGACAGAGAGGCATCTGCAGACGGCAGACAGAGAAGTGGGCCAGCAGTTTCTAGGCAGTCTCCTGTGTGAGGGCAGTAGTTCACTAGGAGATTGTGGCCTTTGCTCTCCAGCCTTCCCAATGGTTGCAGAAACTTCCAATTCCCTGTATTATACATCTTCCTGCTTGATATACTTAGAAGGGTATTCATGTTCCTGCATGAACTCTGATATACCCTTTAAGGCAAACAGTGATTATGTCACTTTTTAAGTTTTCATGAATAAGATAAATGAACACCGACAGCTTGATGGCTTGCTAAAGGACAAAGTATGGTGAGACAGGCATGAAATTAATTACCCCATGGGTTGGTTACATGGATAAGAAGGAAAGGCAAATCTTACCGCAAATACTGAGAGAACAGTGGTATAAACAGATAACAGACTACATATTATGTTCAGCAAGGAATATTTCCTAGGCTGATTGTGGCTGATCAGAAACTCCAGAGTTTTCTGTAACCATCCATTCCTTATTCACATAAATTTTTGGAAAGGGATTGCTGCACGTGACAACCAAATGTCCTTCCTCAATGGAGTAGGCTCGAGCCACGGCTGATCTTCACTACCTTTGTGAGGCTGGGCAAAGTACTTACTTTTCTGAAGCAAATACTGCCTACTGTCTACTAAATATCCATTCTCCTTTCCTTCTCTTAGTATCAGACCCCAATTCTGCTCAGGGTGACAAAGGAACAAACAAAAAAATAGCTGTGTCATCTAGCTTCCTTTGCAGAATTGGCTGTGGAATGAGATTCTGGCCAATGGCCGCATTCTACTTCCAGGAGTCCATTTTTAAAAAGGACAGATTTGGCTGGTATGTGTTTTCTGCCTTTGGTCGAGGGTTTCCAGATCTCAGCCCTACTGACATTTTTGAGCCAGATAATTATTGCTGTGGAAGGTGTCCTGTACACTGTAGGATGTTTAACAGCATCATTGGCTTCTTCTACACACTAGATGCCAGTATAAACACCCAACGCCAAATCTGGACAATCAAAATTGTCTCCAGTTATTTCCAAATGTTCCCTAGAGGAAAAAGTGCCCTGAAGTGAGAACTATTGCTTTAGCTTTCCCTCTTCTTCTTTCCTATAATGCTGATGCAATGCCGGAGGTAGAGCAGCCATCTTGTAATCACAAGGCATGAAACATGAGGAAGAAATCTGCATGCTAAAGACGTTAGAATGAAGAGTTGATGGCATCTGGAGCCCATCATATCAGCCCTGAACTGCCTACTTCTCCCCTCTACCACATAAGGAAAGTAAACTCCTTATTTGTTTAAGGCATGGTATGCCATGTTTTCCATTAGCTGTAGCTGAATGTAACCCATTTAATACACTCTCATCAGATGCAGTCTAAGAAAAACATAGGACCTACTTCAGAGGGTCGCCTGCAAGGATTCAGAATGACACAGCCTGTAAAGCAAATTTTTATGCCTTGGTCCCGAGTCCATGATGAATAAATGCTAACTGCAGACTCCAAACAGAAAGTAGCAACATGACTTCTTCCAAGGATTTGGAGTAACTGCTGTGCACTTGTTTAGAGGGTCCTTCAGGTGAGTCCAGACCAGATCACACTCTCTTTTTTTAATGTTTATTTATTTTTCAGAGAGAAAGAGAGACAAAGCACAAGTGGGGAAGGGGCAGAGAGAGAGAGAGGGAAACACAGAATCCAAAGCAGGTTCCAGGCTCTGCACTGACAGCAGAAAGCCTGACACAGGGCTCAAACTCTTGAGGCATGAGATCATGACC